TGAAAAAAAAAAAAAAAAAACCAGACATCTCCTATTTGAACAGAGGCTCTCCAGTTTAAGCAGCAGATGGTTATTTGAGCCTTCGGCACTGCCTCAAGGATCTCCACATTCTTGTTTGTGTGGAGGTTTTGCTGACACTAATCATAATGATATTATGTCTTCGCTGTTCAGCACGAAGCCCGCGCTCCCAGGAGAGGTCACCATGGTGCCATGGCTCTTCCACACGTCGTGCGTCCCGTTGAGGAGATAACAGAGGAGGAACTGAATAATATTTGTGGATCAGCGAGAGAGAAAGTGTACAACAGGGCCATGGTAAGTGTGTTCCAAGTTTGTGAAATTGTGAAGATTTCGTGAAGTGACTGTTCAGTATTCCCTGCTTTGGATTAGTGACAAAGAGCAAAGCCAGGGTCTCCCTCGCTAAGGAGGGATTTGGTTTTTGAGGGGGAAGGGAGAGAGTGTGCCTGAGATCCTGAATCATCGTTACGTTTTCCTGAACTGATAGGACGGCTGTTATCTAGACAGCTAGCTTGCTCGCACCTTGGAATTGCTCTCATATCTGGGAGATAGCAGCCCGTGAAAGTGTTTTAACAAATGCTGAAGATACAGCCTCAAAATAGTTTTGATCCGTTTTTTTGTTTCAGTTTGTACATGCATCCTGCTAGTTAACAAAGATAACTTGTCTCTTCTGCTAACCCAAGAGCCATCCTTATTGTCTTATTCCTTGAACTGTTCATCCTTCGTAGGGCTCCACTTGCCATCAGTGTCGCCAGAAAACCGTAGACACCAAGACAAACTGCCGTAACCCTGACTGCATCGGGGTGCGGGGCCAGTTCTGTGGGCCCTGCCTCCGCAACAGGTACGGGGAGGACGTCCGGACGGCCCTGCTGGATCCGGTAAGACTCCTGCGGCTTAAAATGCTGCTCTCTGCTGGGCTCAAGCAGCTCCTCCCGTTCAGGAGCTCCAGCAGGGAAGCTCCTCGCAGCGCGGTGGCACATACGTGTTGCTAGATCAGCTCCAAGGAGGCAGGAGCCCCGTGTTCCCTAAGTGCCGTATCGCTGGTGTTGCTGTAGCGCTGTTTACAGAGGGAAACTGTGGGAGCCAGAGGGTGCCTGTGTTTGAGCACTGGAACAGGGTTACCTGTTCTGCCTTGCATTGTACCTAGTGCTTTGTGGAGATAAACTGCATTTTGAACAAAGAAAATGCCGCTGTTGCGGCTGTTGAAAGGGTGCGGGAGTTGAGCAAATGCTTCCCATGGCTTTGGGCAAGGAAGGCAAATGGCCTAGAGGCTGAAAATGTGGATTTTCTTCTGTATTGCTCTGGACAACTTCAGGGCTGCTGTTTGCTGTAGAACTAAGTGGGAAGCAGGGTCCTCTTGAAAGCTGCGGTTGTGAATAATGTCAGGTCAGCTGGAAGGACTTGCCTGTGTGTTCCCTAGGCCTGGAAGTGCCCGCCCTGTCGTGGAATCTGCAACTGCAGCTTCTGCAGGCAGCGAGACGGCCGATGTGCTACCGGTGTCCTGGTTTACCTGGCCAAGTACCACGGCTACGACAACGTCCATGCCTACTTGAAAAGGTCGGTGTGCTCAGCCCTCAAGCAGGGAGGCGAGCGCTCTCTCTCTCCCATGGACTCACAGCCATTCAGTATGTTGAGATCAGTCCTTGTTGTCTCTAGAACCTGAGATTTGCCCTAAGTTCTTTCTGCTATTGCTAGTTTTCACAAAGGAAAGCCCCCAAGTGCTGTGTCCATTCTGTCTCTGAGCACTGCACTTGAACTGGTGTTTATTGTTGTGGCTTCTGCTAATATATCTGAAGAGTTTCTGAACAACACTTTGCTATAAACTGATTCCTGTCTCTGCTTGTCTTTCAGTCTGAAACAAGAACTTGGAATGGAAGACTGAAGCTGCGGCTGCTTCAGACTATGTGCTCTTTCACCAATATTTCATTATTGCCTACAGTGAATTGTTCAATCACGTCATGTTGCAAATTCCTGTATTCCTTCTGTTACCTCTTGGGTTAAAATAGGATAAAGAGCTATCACATATCTCGGTGCAAATAGTACAAAAAAAAAGTTTTTTGAAGGCCTTTTCATACATGCTATTGTTACCTGTTAACTTAGCAAACTAGAGAGTATCAGTTTGTTTCATGGCAACAACTTGTTAATTTCATTTCTTTTTTCTTCCTGTTTTTCCTGAAAGGAGATGGGACTTTAAGCCATTAGTTTTATGCATATGATGATCTGTGCTGCAGTCTTGCTTACGCTTGAATATTAATTGCAAAAAGATCAAAACTGTTCCAACCATTCAGGTCACTGGGGAACCTTCCCAAGTGGACAGGGCATGTGTGTAACTCATGACCAGCTTCAGCTTTATCTGCAATACAAACCCGTCCTGAAAACAAGTGATAGAAGCTAGGAGTTCTGTAAAGCAACTACTTGTCCTTAAGTATAAAAAGGAAGCCCTAATGGTTGTACAGAGCAGTTTCCAGGCACTGTGCCAATGGTTTTATAGAGTACTCAAAGTGCAGACTTACTCTGAGGGAAGGTCTCCACTGAGTAGCTTAAAAATGCAGCAGAAGCAATTGGAGTGGGGACCTGGTAATACATTTTGTCGTGTGGCAGGAGGCCTCCAGGAAGCCAGAAACTTCCACAGCGGCAGTGAGGCTTGCCTGGCTGTGACGGGGACACGTGCGAAGGTGCTGCTGTGCACCCAGGAGTGACTGCTCTGTGTAGAGCAGAGTGTAGCCTGTGGCAGTTGACCGTTGGATTTGGAAGTTGGCATTTTCCTGCTGTTGCTGCCAGCTGCAGAGCTGCTCCTCTGCAGAACAGCTCTGGCCCAGCGGAGGGGAGCTCCCAGGAGCAGGGCTTGCAGCGAGCACAGGAGCAGAGGTGGCTCATGTGGCTTTTTGGCAGCTGTGCAGTGGATTAAAGATGTAGCCTGTTGAGCTCTGGTATCAGAGGGGCAGACAAAGCACTGGGATCAGGAGCTTGTTACCTATGAGCAAAATAAAAAGTAAGAACTTAAGCTGCAGTCGAGCTTGCAGTTGCATAGAGCAGCAGGAGCATGAATAGATAATGTTCTCAAGTACACCCCGGACAGTAGCAGATGAGGAAAAGCAGTTGCCTTATCTAAAAACTTTTCAACGCTAAGTGAAAAGGCAGATGTAATGGTTGCATACAGTTTGTGAGCACTTAGAAATGTGCCATGTTTCTACGTATGTCTGGCTCAGCATGGTTGTAGAAATGATGTTGCTAATGAGCTGTGAGTAGAGCACAAACTGAGCCCAAGAATTCCAGCATACTGCGTGGATGGGCCGCATGTACTGTAGATGCTGTAGAAAAAAGTGCCATGAGTATTCCAGCTGGAGAGCCACAAAGTGTATAAAATGCCCAGGGGTTGGTAATGGAAACTGCTGCATAAGCTTTGTGCAAGATTTGGAGCATGATGTAAAAAAAAAATGTACAGTTGAATAGTAGGCAGAATCAACCTGCATGTATTGAGCACTAGAACAGGACACGGCCTTGCACCCCTTTGCTTGCACAGGATTTGTACTGTATGTGTATATATAATGGTGCACATTTTATACCTTTCTGGGAAGTACATCAGTGTACATGGAAGAGGCAGCCAGGGGAAGATGGATTTGGAAACAAAAGGTGTTTATGTGTCAGACGCGCAGCTCTGATTTGTAAATCATCTGTGTTGTTGAAGATCTCCAGCCCCTTTTTTGTCTCTGTTTTTATAGTGTTGATAGCTGGACAGTGCAAGGTGGAGAGTGCTTTTCCCTCTAGGAACATTTCATGAAAAAAGGAGCTCTAGAAATACATATTCTTGATAGCTAAGAGTGATTTTTCTAATTGTTGGGCTTGCCTTTTGATTGCTGGAGTGTGAAAGGACTATGTTAAAAGCAACCCCTTGTATCATGTCATGGAGACTGCTGTGCTGAGATTCCCTCAGATCTATGAACTTCTGTACAAAGGTTTTTTATTTTGATAATAAAAGTGTTTTTTTCTGGTTAGAATTTTTACTTCTTTACCATTATTAAAAAAATGCTTAGGTTTGTGCTCCCCTTCTGATGAATAGCTATGTTATTGCTGCAATGTGAAGGAGTTGGTTGTCCTCGGGGGAGCAGTGGAAGACACTACCTCTCTCATAGGGGCCCAGATATCTCAGTTTCTCATACAGAGGCTTTCACCAAGCGCCAACCCTCTCTTCCTTTGTGGGGACTGAGGGTCAGATGCATCCATCCTGACCTGCACGGGAGCAGAGGAGATACTGACTTTGACTTCTGGGTGCAAGTCAAAGTTAGGTGCCTGCCACTTGTCCCTTAGCCTCTATCCAAGCTCCAGGTAACCTCTCTGAGAAAACCCTTGCTGCTCTGGGGGGAATAACCTGCTGCAGGCTGCAGCCTGGTGCTGCAGAAGCCCAGCCCGATTCTTGGGCTTCTTGGTTTGAAGTCAGAGTAGTCCTGTCTGGAGAAGACTTGTGCGAGATAGTAGCACAAGAATGCGTAAAGCCATCCTGTGTCCAGCTGGAGTAAAGGGGGAAAAACAGCAAGCAGGGTGACTGAGCTGACCTCAAACAGTCTCTAAGAACAAGGAGGTGCTCCTGCCAGAAAGCCTTGTTCAGGTACTTCTCTTTCATTATGTTGCTGGTGCTGTGAAAACAAAATTCATATTTAATTTGTGCAATATTCTAGTTCAGGATTTACGTGATTCCTTTGTATATCTCAATACATTTTTCCCCGAGTCCGTACCACAGCTACTTAAGTGCTGTTGCTATTAACCTGACAGGTAGTTAAGGAGCTTGTGGTTTCTCTCCACAGCAAACGGACAGTGTATTAAGACACTTCACAAGGAAGAGAGGAAAAAAAAAATCCCAGCTCTGTCAGATACTTTTGAAAACAGAGAGGCATGGAAATAGAAACTCGCCCTTAAAGGAAGACTACAAAGGTGACTTATGTGCCAGGTAGCATTACTGCTAATTTATTAGTGATGTTCCCTCACCCCTCTCAGTTTTGATGCTACTCCATCTACCTAGGTTTGATACAATTTCTAGGGTTTTTGTTTGTTTGTTCGCTTGTTCCTTTTTGATCCTGCAGTTCAATCATGCTTAAATGCTGCTAGAAATAAACCCTGAGAAGGTTAATAGGAAAAATATACTTTTAAATTCACTACATCCTGCATTCTTGTTAGGGAAAGGGGGAAATGTGGGGTAGAGAACAGAAGTGATGGTGTGCTGGGAGGGTGACTTCTATCTTGTGTTTCTAAGTGTATAAATACAAGCTAAAGCTTCCATGTGTATCAGCTCAGCCAGAGAAACACCACACAGTTCAGTTCTCGAGTCCTGGAGTTAAAATAGTCAAAAAATAATAAAATTTAGTCAGTAATGGAATGATGAACAAACCTACCCAATTTTCCCCTTAATCTTGGAAGATTCTCTTGTAGGTTATGTAATATATTTCTAGGTATAGCTACACATACCGTGTGTATGTGTGTATATTTTTATATATATATATGCATATACATATATATATATATGTTGTTCCCTGCTTTTTTCCCCAGTTTTCCTTTCCTTTTAATAAACAGTCATATGTTGAAGTCCCAGTTTTCTTTCCCCTTTGGGGAGAGGGAGGTGTCGTCTTCCTTACCCATTCAGCAGTGTTCTTTCATGTTATATATAGGGTTATAAAAATAACAATAAAGCATTACTTCACAGGCTGATCAAGTAGCAAGGGCTGCCTCTGCCAGAGCAACACACGCAGCCTCTTAACTGGTTACATTAGTGTGGAGAGGTGCAATGGAAAATTTAAAAATAGGAAATTAACCCCTTCAGCCTTACCACTCTCACAGGAGATTACACATTTTTCATCTGTAAAACCTTAAATATATATGTATAAATGTATGTGTGTGTGTGTATATATATATATATATAGTTTTTTTTTTTTTTTTTTTTTTTTTTTTAAGGGGGAAGCAAGGAGAGGGAATATAAAACATAGGGGTAGCAGTTGCTCGGCCGGTTAAAGGGCTCGGGAAGGGCTAAGCATTTTTCTAGGCAAAGAATGGCTTTGGTGCAGTAAGGACGCGGGGACCGGGCTAGCTCTGAGATCATGTGACACATGCACAAAAGAGATGTGGCTCTTTCTTATGAAATACAGGGCGTCTATGGGAGCTTAAGCTTCAATACCCAGGTAATGCTGGGCTCTGCTGTGCAGTAGGTTGGCTTCAAATGTTAAGAGAGGAGAGAGCATCACCCTTACTTGGGTCTCACCCTGTTTCCAGATAAACTAAGCCTGGACTGTCCAGCTTGGCGTGTGGAAGGGGCAACAGGGAGGGTAATTGATGTGCTCAAAATGTGATGGCTGATGTTAGTTGTAGGAATCCTGAGACTGGGAGCTGAGGGGAGGGTGGGAATCCTGTTAGGACTGAGGTTTAGGAGTAGCTGGGGATATTGGATTTATACAAGAACACGCCTAGGGCAGAGAGCTACAGTCGTGGTGAACGAGATCTGTTGGCTGCTTTTTGGGTGGCTTCTGGCCAGAATTAAAACAGAGCCCCGGTTGCAAGGACGACAGGCGCTTCAGTTGGATTAAAAACAACAACCCGAAGTCGTGGGTGGGGAGGGCTATAGTGAGGTGGCACTGCATCTACGCGCCTTTCTTAACTAGAATGCTTTATTTTCTTAACTAGAATGCTCCCGCAGAAGTGCTACTGCATCTGTAAAGAGTTACGTAATGTGGGTGAGAAGCTTCCACCGATGCCAAGCTGAATATTGCTGATAGTGCTCCTGCTTTCCCAGGGCGCTCCCGGAAATGTCTCCCTGCAGGGTCCCAGCAAGCGCCTCTCAAAAGCAACGCACCACACGAGACAGACCCCGGGGAAGGAAGGTTTCACCTTCAAAGCTTCAGATGTCAGGGACACCGGTAGGTTTTCTTGTTTTATATTTATATTGCTGAAGTAAAAATACAAGCCAAATCACTGTTAACTATTTTGGCTAGTACTTTGAAAAGTCACCATCTTCAGAGGTACTCTAAGGTGCCAGATCTAGAGGCCAACTTGTGCTAAGAGGTTTTTTCCCCAGTTTCTCAAATATGTAACTACAGAAAATGCACTCACAGTCACCTTGTGAGTTTCTCTTATATAGCTTTTTAGCAGAATTAAACACTAGGAAAGATCTGACTTCCCAGTGCTTTCATTATATGTTTTCTTTTTCTTTTTTTGCTACTGAGTGTAGGGGGTGGTGGTTTTGGTTTGGGTTATTTCTTTTTTGAGAGTGGTTATAATGTGAATATATGACTGATGGCAGTGAATCATCAGGCAGGGGAAAAAAAAAAGAACACTTTGGAAATAAGCCAAAGTCAAAGTCTTTTCTCGTGCTCTGTTCAATCTGCTTCCTCTTTAAAAGAAAACTTTCACATTAGCAGAAAAATAACTGCTTAGCCAGAGTTCTTTTTGTGTCCCTTTCAGCAGGGGAAGGGGATGAGCTGCCTCGCTCCGTGCCCTGCTGGCTCCCTTGCCACCGAGTTATCGCTCTGAAGGCTTTTTCTTCCCCCTTTATTTCTCTTTTCATTTAACTCTCATGAAAATAGTTGTGATGTTACAATTTTGGTATTAGAGGCTAAACATAGAGTTTTGTTGTGAGAAACTGAACTGCTTTGATATAATCCCATTTTTCTCTGGTAAGAAATCACCGCTAATTTTCAAATGGTTGTTGTGGCTAAAAATCCAGCACCTGCACTGCATAGCTCTGAAGAGTAAAGCTCTCTGTAAAGCTTTGGTTGTAGCCACACACCCCGCCTTCTTGCAAGCAGCATTACTCTATTTCTTAATCTTTTGCTTTATTAAGTGTATGTTTGTGGGCTAACCACTGCATTGCAGCTGAAGGGAAGTGGTTGGCAGAGTATCACGGTCTGCTTGGTGCCTTTCTTTTCGTTCCTGCCTGTTCTCCTGCTTTCCAAAGGGTCAGTGAGCGAGTGCCACCCAGCCGTGGGGCTGGTGAGGCGACGTTTCCTTTGGCAGCCTGTCTGAAGGGCAGATACTCGTGGGCTCAGTCCAGAGAGATTATGAGGTTTCTCCATATCTGTGGCGACAGAAACCTGGGTAATGAGAGGACTTCGTGAGAGTAAATGTAAGTTCTGTGAAATGCAGATACTAAGGAGTGAAGCAGCAACGAAACGGAGCTTGGAGGGTCTCTGTGCTGCCTCTTTCAGCAACGTAGAGAAGCTCTAGGGTGCCTGTGGTTGCTTTGCAGGCGACCTGTGAGGAGGGAAAGGTTCATGTTGGTGAGAGCCAGGAGGCTGTTCTGGTGCCAGGTGTGAATCCATAAGTGCCCAGTGCTCCTGCCCGGGACAGAGGAGGACACCGGGTCAGGGATGGCCGCAGTGAGGAGGCTCGGAGCTCATCACCTCAGCACTCCCCAGCCTTCCTCAGTGGAACCACCACGGGAGGAGACGCTGCTCATTCAAAAATGTCCATTAGAAACAGGACAAAATCCTCTGAGGTGCTGCCACTGCTCTCAGTGACCCTGGCCTTGCCCACAGACCTTTTTCCCCTTTTTCTGTATTTAGCTGAGAAAATTGACTGCACAGGACAACAGCACTATTCGTTGATGTAGGTAAAAATAACTTAAAACAAAAGCAAATACATGTAATATATTTTTAAGTAGTGTTGAAGCTATAGAATATAACATGATGCTATATAACTGGATATAGCTGGAGGTATAGAAAACTTTCTCAGATAACAGAAATCTCAAGGTTTTTGTCCTGGTGCAGAACACCTCCCCGATGTATATCCAAAAACATTGCAAATGCCTTTACTACATTTCAAAATTTAAAAAAAAAAAAGAAAAGGAATTGTTTAAACTGGCATAAATGCTGCTGGAGAGTAAAGACATTTTCAGCCTTGATTTATACTACAGGTTTTCATTTCAGCACACTGCGTATTTCTGCATTTTTTTCCTAAACCTCTTAGAAAACTGTTTCATGTGAACAATTTCCTCTGGAAGCATATGAACGTGTTGCATCACTGCTTGCCAATACGTGCTAATTTTTCTGAAATAAAATGCCTTGTTGCATGCTATTAATGCAGCCTAAATCTTTTTGTATTGCTGATTTGCAACAAAGCAAAAAGACCCCTGACTAAAGCAGGCTACTTTCATGAGGGCTAGGAGAGAGACACAAATACTGGAGCGCTCTTCCTTGACCTCCAGACAAGCCCTTTATCTTCACTAATGTGCATTATTTTACGTTTTGCAACAGATACCCCAATTTCTGTTTTGCCATCTGCTCTATGGCAATTGACACTTCAGCGGGCTGGCGATTACTGACTAGCTGTGGATGGGAATACAGTAAATTCTCCACAAAATAAAAATCAATACTCACTGACATACTGCGTATTGAAGAAAATAATTGTTTATGGCACTCAGCTTAAGCTGTTCTGGTAATCACGTTGAAAAATACAATATTTATTCATTAGATCAAATTTAATGAGGCCTCCTGGCAGTAATTATAAAAATTACTGTAGCAGTAAATTACTAATGAGTTGTGATGTGCTTCCTACCTGTGAGGAAGGACTGGGGGATGAAAAACCTGATACCCAGACAACACTAGGGAGGGTAAGATCTTGAGGCAAGGAGTCAAGCTCGCGGCGGTGCAGGAGTTGCTCACTGCACCTGAATGGTTAAAAAAAAGAAAAAAGAAAGAAAAAAGGGAAAAAAAAAAGGGAAAAGGAAACGGGAAAAGAAAAAGACAAGGAAAAAAAGACTCACAACCAAGTAGCTTCAAAGGGTTGCTTTAAAAAGATATTAAGCTCTTCCAAACCAACATGCATAGGCAACGGAACAACATTATCAATGGCAGAGACTCCTTTGCCACATGTACATAATCTCGTCGCTAAAAATCAGCAGAGGTGACCTGATTTACTGTAACAGCTCTTGGGCTAGGAACAACTTCTTGCTTTCTTGTTGTTATAAAGTTTCATGCAAAACACAGCCAGGAGGGCAATGCTTTATTAGTGCCCTTAAATCTTAGAGAACAGTCACCTAAGATGTGGAGCTGAGACGAAGGTTGAACTCCCCCACCAGCTTGCTTTGATGCAGGGAGTTTGACCCAGATTTCTTTCTTCTTCTGAGACAAAGCTTTAAGGAAGGCAGAGGCTTGTGGGTAGCAAACGGGCCTCGGCTCGAACAAACCGAGGCGGCGAGGGGTGGAAGTGGCTGCCGCACGGCCAGGCTCCCGCTGCGCCCGCGGCGCCGAGCCGCCGGCCGGGGGCTGCCGCCCTGCGCCGCAGTTAGAGCCGGGGGCTCGGGCCTTGCGGAGGCACCGCGAGGCCCCGAGCAGGGCAGCGTCCAGCGAGCTGCTCCTTCAGAGCGTCGGTGTCGCCCTCTGTGCCACGCCAAGCGGAGGAGGGCTGTGAATTTTCACCTTCCATGATGCACGCGCTGCTCTCAAACAGAGTGGGGAGGCGCAGGGAAATGGAACAGTCTGGGTGCTCCTTACAGGGGCCTCCACATGCTCAGGCCCACGGCGACGCCGAGGTGAAAAGAAGCACCCCGGAGTGATGCCCGGAAGGGAGAAGGTGGGTGCCTTGTCCTGCCGCGACCTGCTGCCCGCTCCGGTGCAGCCTGGGCGCCTGCCTGGAGCTACAGTGGAGGGGCAGGCCCTGAGCCCCTTGTGCACCAGCCTTAGGGCTAAGGAGATGTATGCGCTAAAAACAGGCACTGCTGGCAGCCCCTTGGGAGAGGTACGACATCAACAGCAGCCGGGCCAGCACACTGCAGGGGTCTTCTGCAGTTTGAATATCTTGGGGAGCACAGATATACCTTCATTCCCACCCACCCCGTGCCTAAAATAAAATAAAATAAAACAAAATAAAATAAAATAAAACAAAATAAAATAAAGTAAAATAAAATGATAAAAAGCAATGATTTGCAGTAATTTAACTAATTCACATTGGTGAGCACATTGATATTAAATTAAGGCCAGGAGAGCTCTTGCCATGATGCAATTACAAAAGGTCAGTGTCTCATTGCCCATCAGAAATTAACCTTATCTAATTGCATGGCCACAAAAAACCACAGCGTCGTCTCTGCACTGTAATGTCACCATAGCAGAGCTAGAGCAGTCACACTGCAGGGAAATAAACACCAGCTTCTGCCTGTGAAGTTGATATTTGGAGTGCCGGGTTCTTTTCCTAGCATTGCCACGCGTTTCCTCAATGACCTGAGGGAATTCAGCCCCTGTCTCTCTCTGTTTCCCTTTTTACATCACGGAAATCCTCTCCAGGCTTTCCCTTGCTGTCTGGTCCTGTCTGGCAGATTAAAAAAATGTGTTTCCTTTATTATTAGCTAAACTGAATTTGGTGATGGACAGATGTTCACTTTGCATACAGCTGTGCTGGCTGAAGATGCCTTGCTCGGTTTCTTTCTGGAGCTGCTGTAAGGCTGAATTAACACTGATAGAGAATTTGGAAATCTTCAGCTAGGAAATACTTCAGGAATTGGAGGCTTTGTGGCTTTTCGGAAGTGCTGTCAGCCACATCTACAGCTGAGTCCGTGGGAGCTGAAAGACAAAGGCAAAGCAGCCCACGTGAGGGTGGAAGCAGTTCAGGAATTCAAATGGCTCTACATTAAACCCCCTCAGGTAAACAGCAAAGGTGGACGTGGTGGAATGATCTCTCTTCATTTTGTTGTTGTCGTTTTGTTTTGGTTTCCTTCTTTCTCTTTTTCCTGCCTATGGTTTTCCTTAACCTGTGTCATCCAGGGCTGAGGACTTAGGCCCCAAAATGCAGGAGCTCTCACCTCAGGATGCTGACTATTGTCTCATGCAGCAAAGAGTGTTTTTAGGTAATATAGTGAATTCTTACAGTCAGTAGCAAAATGGAAGCACTTTACCTAGGGTTTCTTCTCTACACCTGTGAAATTAATTTAGTGGGGGGATACTATGGAACTAAACCTAAACACTAAATAATAATGATGAAGCTTTTAAGAGAGAACGTCTCACAGTCTGACACACGTAGTAGCATTGTTGCTGTGCATTATTACTATAATTAAATTATGTTATGCTATTGCATAAACTAATATGTCAGTAATATTATGCTTAGCAGTAAGATTTTTGTCACATAAACAATATGAGACTTTAAACTTCTGCATTTTGTGATGTAAAATGCATAGAAAATAGAGAAATTGGAACAACAGCATAAAACATGAAAAGCTGCAGCTTTCAGTTGGTTCAACATGACAGTCCTTTTAAAGCAGGTAAGTTGAGACTGCCAGAATGCATTTCCCAAAAGGCTGGAGCATGGGCTGTATGTGTGAGCTGTATATACCTGCTATTATTTGAAAATATTGGGTGACATATAAATATTCTCATCTCTCTCGCTCTTTTTTTTTTTTCCCACAACGTCAAACATGTGAGGTTAAATCAGAAGCTACTCACAGTAAACTGCTGAGAAAAATATGTAAATAATAACGGGAATAAAGCTGCAGTCGTTTCTCTGAGCAGTCCAGCGCCCCGAGAGAGGCTCCGTGGTGAGGGAGCTGCCACGGGCAGAGCAGCGTCCTGGGAAGCAGGTTTCCTGGTGCCAGGGCTCTTCCAGGTGGGTTACTGCGGCACGCATCCACGTGGGTGGGTACCCACGGACAGCCACCCCTTTCCTTTTGGGCAAAAGCAGAGACCTTCCTAGCTGTTCACTTCTGCTATCAGAAACAATTATTGGTTTTTAATTGCAAATGATCAAGAAGGATAAAATAAAAAAGGCAGACGTCCTTGCCTTTGCTCTGCTGTTCTGCAGCCAGCCCAGCAGCAAACATGCTGTAAACCTGCTGTATGCGACCCTGCTGCAGCCCTTGCTGTGCTGCTTGCGCCAGCCCGGCCTCGCGTGCGCCCTGCACCACCTTGCTGTGCAGCACTCCGGGCCTGGAGCTGCCACCATGGGCACCAAGGGCTCCAAATTTATCCTGGGGGGCCTCTTCTAGCTCCTGGAGCTGGGAGTAGAGTGGAAACACGAGGAAACTTTACTGCATTTTATCAGACCTCCATCCTCAGCCTCCAGCAGACTCGGGGTGGGACGCAGCCCTTACAGGGAGGCTGTCATCCATAATACATATTTATGCTGTGTCCACCGAGTGTAAGAATGCCCTCAGAAAAACTTAGGCGAGGCTATAATAATACTTCATACTTCTTTGTTGCCTTTCATCCAAGGATTTCATTGTGCCTTTAAAAGCTTTCATTAACTAAAATTCACAGCCCCGTTGTGCAGGAACTGTGCATTAACACCTCCACCATATGTAAAATACAGCTCAGAGAAGCAAGGACTGGTGTAAATGGTTTAAAAAGCTGGAAAGAATGGGGAAAAATGAGAATGATTATTTGAACACCTATGTACTAACCCTGCTTTTTTCCATCTAAAATGTCTTGGACTGACACTCTAATTGCATTTTGCTGTATTTTTGAATCTTGATGTGTGCCAAATTTATAATTGTTTCAGAAGTCTCAAGACAATAATTTCCAAATTCATTTATTATCTGTAGGAAACGTATCCTTTGATACCTGGATGCAGCTGTAGCAGTGAGAGTGCTGTAATTGCCTATGGAGCCAGGTATGCATTTCTGCTATTGTCAAGCTGCAGGCTCCGGTTTCCCCGGGATGCGGCTGACTTGTGAATGCCGGTTACACACATTCCCGAGAAGAGAATATGCCCCTAAAGCTCCAGTGTCCTTCGTGCGTAGCCCCCGATCCTCTACAAAGCTTACAGCTCACAGGATTCAACAGTATTGGTTCTTTGGGGATCAATGAGAAACTCACCACCCATCTCCAGTATCTCTGAATTACAGAGCAGAACCAGATCAAACGCAGACGACTTCCCTCATTTATCCTGCCTCTGTGCCACATCAGAGTGTGTGCTGCATTCATTTCGTGTAGGCGGGCTGGTGTCTAATGTACTCTGTGAACATATTTATAAAGGATTAACCTGTGCCTGGTATTCCTAAAAACTGATTTAGTTAAAATACATATTTTATTCTACTTATCTCAACCATACAAATCATTCCGGTTTAGCTTTGATATTAATCATTTTTGGTGGGTGTTATATACTGCGCGTTATCAGCAGTCCTGCTCTGTATGACAGCCTTTTTTTCCCCCCTAGGCAATACTCCTCGGCACATTATATGATCTGTGTCTTAGACTGTTAACCTGCAGTGAAAGTGCTCGCTAATAGGACGGACTGCTCAGCAAATGCCCGAGCCCTCAGGGTTGGCTCAACGAGTGCTATTGCTGTGCGGGTGTTTAGAAGCCCTCTGGAAGAAGAGGGTTGGGAATCACAGCCCTGGGAAGGAGTGAGGAGCACTGGAAACCCCAGGATGCTGCCGGTGAGTCCACACTCTTAACCCACCTCTCGTCTTTCCAGGAATGATCCATTAACACGGAACTCCCGGCCTGCAAACAATTGCAACCCTTCCCCACCCTGGAAAAAGTTAAGTGTCTATGTTTTAAAATATGTACCCTAAGACGGGTGATTTGTCTCACGTAGGAGAATGATTAAAAGGCAATACAAATGACTAGCTTGACTAATGGAGAATCTTGAAGAAAGGCCAAAATGTTGAAGGCAGTTTGAGAGCTGTCAGCTAGGAGCTTGGGATAAAACGGAAGGAAGGCCAAGCCTCTGATTATGAACTAGGGGTAATTTATTGAAGATGAGAGCTGCAGAGAAAAATGATTTTTAAAAAAGCAGTGGAAAACTAATTATTTGAGAGGTATGGCAGCCAGAAGTCAGGCTTCGTACTCACCTGACTTTTCAACCTGGGATTCGCTTCTTTGTTACCCTGAATCAACCCATACTGGGACAGCAGCTGTGTGAAAAAGCTTATACAGTTTTGTCTTCAATATTCTATGCCTTGAAATAGAAATGAACGCTGGTAATTGGTGCTATATTTTTGCCACTTACATAATGACCTTTGGATGCAAGGAATTCAGCCCATTTTGAATTCGGTTCCTGGTACTGTGGTTTTTATGTAACTTGTGTGTCAGATATTATTTGTTCCACCATCAGTCCATCTTATCTGGCTATAAGAAAACACAAAAATCAGTGAGTGTATATGAGGGAAGGAGGATTCTTCGCAACAGCCCATCAACCAGTTTTTACAGTTCATTTTCTTCCCCATTGTTTGAATAGGGACTTCTTGGAAGCTCACAAATGTTTCTTTTCCTTGCCAAGACAGTGGTACTTTTGCCCTGGCACACGTTTCTCTTCTTCCCTTTTCTTGTGCTTGGAGTGCAGCTGAACAACAAATCCCTTCCCCTCTGTTTAACAAGCAGCTTCTTCACAGCGAGTGCTTCCCGTGCCACGGAGCTGCCTGGCTTTCAGGCCAGCCCTGCAGTGGTGTTAGTTAATGAAGGGCCCACAAGTGACCGGGCACAAGCTGGTGCAGCGGGACGGCAGGTCTGTGGGTCCTGCACCACAGCCCCATGCTGGCCTGGGCCCGGAGGAGCGCCTCTCTGAGACGTAACCAACATTTGGGAAGCAAGAGCGGCTCTTCTGTGAGATAACTCCCCTTCTCTGTGCCACGGCACAGGTGTTAGGCTACTCACAGCTGTTCTCGTGCAGGTTATGTCCTCCTCCCTGGAGTCAGCTCATTCTGACCTGTATGGATTCCTTTAGCTCCGTTTCCTGACCAGTTTAGGTCCTGCTGGAGGCTGTGGGAGGCCCTGGACAGGTGGATGGACAGCAGATCAGTTTGATGCCTCTGTCACTCTTTTGTTTCCCCCAGTTTGCCTGGGCTGTTAAAGCACCAGTTCAGTAACTCCTCTGGCTTTGGTGCTATGGGAAGGGGCTGCCCTTGCCCAGCCCCGCAGGCCCCTCTGCGCCTCCATCTCCATGGATGGTCCTGGCCCCCCGACCCAGGGCTCCCTCCTTGCCGCTCCTGGGATCCCATCCCAGCCTTTTGTTCTTCCCCACCAGCAGCTACCGTCTCCCCACCTCAGAAGTCAGCAGTGGAGGCTGTCAGCTAAAACCCCAGATAACAAATCCTACCCTAGCAGCCTTGTCCTCCCAGGTGCCTTTTCCAGCCTGCAAGGGAGTCGGTGTAGTAGCCCTGCCTTTCTCGCAGTGGCCTCCGAGCGGGATCTGTGCATTCCGAGTATCTTCCACTGTCCCTGTGCGACAGCTCCTTGGTGTGGAGGCTTCCTGCGCCCTCCTCCCGGAGGCAAGTGAGCTCTCCCTGGGATGCTCCTGCTCCGGGTGCCGCTGCCGCCCCTGCTTCCCCGGTGCCCGGCCAGGCCGCAGCTCCAGGGCTGCCCCGGAGCGCGGTGCAAAGCGGCCAGGGACACCAGCCACTGCTCCTCTTCACCCACACTCTTCTTCTGCATCTGCTGGATTTGCCTCTGAAATCTATGGCTTGAGAATAAAAGCATCAGTACCTTTTTTTTTCCTCCTTCTTCTTCTTTCCCCTTTCACCCCAGTTAACATCGCTGGCATCGTGCCTCCACCTTTCATCCGCTGTCTCCTTTTGCGGTGCTGCTCCCTGACAGGCTGCCGCCAGGAAAAGCCGGGCACGTGCGCTGCCCCGGGCAGGCCGGGACCGCAGGCCGGGACTGGGGCTGGGGCCACGCAGTGACCCCGGGCCCGCTGGCCACACGGACACGACGGAGAGCCCGGGGACAGGGCGGGAGCTGCAGCGCTGAGGGCTTCGTGGAGCTGGAAAGGGTCCCGGGGACACACTGAGCATGGGTTGTTAGTGGCCTGACATGAGCTCCTTCCGTTAAGTGCCCACACTTGCTCTCTCTGTGACTCATTTGCTGAGCACACGATGCTTAAACTGTGCATTTATTCAGTTTTCTTTTTTTTTTTCGCTTTGCCTCCTTGCCCTGTCTTGCCCTGCTTTGAAATAGCATCTCCTTAGAAATCAAAGGTTTTTCTCTGATGTCTCAGCTGGTGACAAGTCAGGTAGGGATATGAGAGGGATTTCAAAAAGCGGGGGGAAGACAAGGCTGTGAGGATGCCTGAGGCCGCTTCGCAGTGCGTGTCCGGGCGGCTCGGGGAGAGGCCCCTTCCTGAGGAGGCTGCAGCGCTGCTCCCGACTGCGATCCCCACACGGAGGCCCAGCTGTGGCCTCCCTGTCCCCTCCTGTTCCTGCTCTCCCGGACACACAGGGTTGCCAGCCCGTGAGCCGCTGCATTTGGCTCCTGAGGGCAAAAGGAAACCTGCCCCCTCCAGTCCCACCAGTGCTGCCACACAGGCTTTCTGTAATTACTGGGTACTGTCTCCTGCTCTTCTCCAAAATGAATACAGGGTCCAGCTTGACTTCCCCATACATTTTTTTAAAGAAAGCAGCTGTGTTGTCCTTCGTGAAACAGCTTGTAATTTAGCATTACTGCATTATATCCCCTAGGCAACACTTTCTGTCCTCAGGACTCAGACTTCACAGTATCTCTATGGAGCTTTAGTTTTCCATCAGGAGATGCTAAAAGAACGCCTAATTCCGTAAAGCCCTCATTGATCTTCTGCACCTTGTGAAGCTCCTCTGGTGCCTTGCTCAGGGTCTCCTCCGCTGAACAGGATTTCTTCCTCCTCCTCTGCTCTCTCGAGAGCCTGCAGTTATCTCGGAAGCGTGGCCAGGCTTTGCATTCCAGCACTGCCTGCTTTGCCCTGTGCAGGGGTCCCCAGGTCGGCCTCACAGCCCTGGGTAGCTCTGCCAGGCTTGTTGCCCTGCTCAGGAGGCTCCCGGGGCGAGCTGAAGGGAAGCCAGTAAATAAATAACTCACCAGCATTTGGTTTCCCCTTTTGTTCTGGCTTTCGATATCCCAGGACACCCCTGGAAGGCGGATGGATACATCTTAAAATGAGCTCAGTTAAGACAGACAGAGCACGATGGCCCCACTACTTGCTCTGAAACTTTCCCCTGAGTTCGTCATGCAAGGGGCTTTGCTAATTGCTGCTCCTGCTCGTGCCCATTTCCTCCACACGAGCTCAGAGCAGCAGCCGCTCATGGTTACAAATCCTGATCCCAAAAGGCACAGAAATTGGAGCCGAGTCTTTTGAAGGGGGAAATACAATGTGCTGCAGCACTTGCCAAACCAATTTGATCAGCACACACAGCTTGAGAAAAAGCAAGCAAGCAAACAAACAAGCAAGAACTGGAAATTCAAATATTAGAGAAATCCTTCAAAGTCTGCAGTCATTGGCAAGATGAACACAAAGCTCTTTGTGCTTTTCATAGCACCGGTAATACCAGTTTATGATAAAAAGCTATTCTGAATTACACAAGAAGGTAAGATATTTGCCAAAAAAATTCTTTAGTTCCTATTCTATTTTTCATGATGGACAAGAAGCACCATCCATACTGATTGACTGTTGGCATGCGACTTACCACTGAGCAACTGTATGTTGATGGATAAGCCAGTCGCATCCAAGTGTCAGGAAGATTATCAAAAAAAAAGAGCTGTCTGTAGTTTCTCCATCTCTGAGGAGATTGCCAACTCACCCTAACAAAAGAAAACATTAGTGTGCTATTTGCGTCTCACAAAGCGACTGTGATAAGATGACATGATAAATGATAGAGGGCTTTTTTTTCCCCAGTAAAAACACATAAGGTAGCTAAATCGTCAAGTGTAAAGAATATCTTGGCTCCTGCAACTGGGGTGAGTCATTTATATTTTTTTTAAAAAAAGGGAAACTGTGAGGAAAACAAGAGTGTAGGTTCCGAATTTTTGGTATTTCTCAAATCCACTCTAATTACATTAGGTAATTATATGATTAAGTAATGCATATACATATGCACAGATGTGCACACCTACGCACATGTACAGGGAGAAAAATGATAATGGGCCAAATTACTAACTTGCTTTCAGATATCCCACAGAAAATAGTACACGCAATCAAGCTACCATTCTGCTGGCGTGCTTGCACTAATGGCTATTTGAGTGCCCATGTTTTGTTACTCTGAATTAAAGATAGGAAGGTAGGTAATTCTAGGTGGCAAAAGAGGAGGCCCTATGAATCAGATTTTCAGGAGCTAGCTGCATATGCATTGACTACAACTGTGCATGCATATATGCCATGATTGTGTAAATTGCTGGCGATGCCTAAGAAACCCCTTGGTTGCCCAATTCCCTGATTTGAGCTTACATTGAATTTTAATGCAGCAAGTACATCGCTGTTAGAGATTGCTAGATATTATGAAAATTTGGCCTTGCATGTTTGAGATCATTACATGTTGTTATTCAGCACTTTGTGACCTTTCAGAAAGCAGATATTATCCTCATAAAAATCACGAAGATT